TCATCACTAATAAATAGTCCTTGAAATGAAAAGCATGGAGTATATAATGATAATATGTTTGTTAATTGAATATATATCCCTTTGAAATTAAATTGATTATAAGTTATCATTTTAAGTACATAAATCTGGAAAATAAAATATTGAAATGAGTTTTTAGAGAATAATGAGACTTCATTCTATTCTAATCAAATAACTATTAAACTAATATTTCTATGTTTATTTTTATTTTAAAATTAAAATATTGAAATAAATTCTCAAAATTTCATTATGCAATCTTAAATATTCTTCAATAGGTTATCATAATTGAATTATTTTGTGCAATACTGAGTTTTAACATTCAAATATTTTATTCGATATTTTTTAAATAAATATTCAAAAAAACCATATTTCATGCACATAGAAATTACTACAAATTTTTTGATTATTATATTTAAATTTACATTAAATATCTGACAAATCAAAGTAAATACAAGATAAGTGTAATCTATGGAAATACATGAGCATGTCCAAGAAAACTAGAAAAATACACGGCTTTGACGCCAATAGAGAATTATGTGGTTCATCACCACTACGTAAAGGAAGCGCAAGAATCAACACATACACAAGCAAGCAATTAAAAACAAGAAAAAACGTAATACGTAGCCGGATAAGTCTACATTCATGGGAACAACAAATTCTACATTGAAGACTTACAATTGTTCAAATCGATATGTGTCTCTTCCCCTCATATATACCTGCAAGGTGAAGTCCCAAGATTAAACTAACCATAATCATAACTCAACTTAGATTAACTTAAATTTAATCTAAGACTTAAGTTAGCCCTAAAATGCAAGAGCTATGTTAACAGAACAATAATTGCTTTAATCAAAATCTAAAAAGTATTCAATACAAATTGTGACTTGAATATATATATGTATATTGTGTAATGTAATTGTAATTTAAATACTAACTAGGATAGAGCATAAGTCTAACTATAACTTGAATTAGATTGACTAAAATTAACCTCAAGATTTGAGTTGATATTAGCAATCTCTGTCATGATCATACGTAGATTTGCCAAGGTATATAGTGTGCTATGGGAGTACATACCTAGTTGGATGTGGAAATATGCATATTAGGGTTTGAAGATGATCCAATGAGGTTGACTCTTGATGAGACATATTTTCATGTATGTGAGGATTATAACATTTTGTGTGGCTTGAAGAATAGTTAGTTCTTTGAGTTGAGACTCCATCGTTGGGAGATAGTACATTCGTGATTAGCACTCGGATATCGAGATTTACATTAGCATCCGCCTACATTTTTTTAGTAGTGGAGTGGGCTTGGTTCGATTGTTTGTGATCTTTCATTTTGTGTTTTATGACTGTATGTCATTCACGGAATTTCCTTCGAAGGACTTACTAGAGTTTGGTGTTGGCTACACATGTCTAGCTATGTATATCCGTCGATTCTTTTCGTTGGACCTACAGGTTGAATAGGAAGAAATGTCATTTATGGAGTGACGAGAGTTGTTTCATACTCAACTCGAAGAAGAAATTTGACAATTTTGTTTCTAGCGTGCGTTCGTACGATCTTGATTGAAAACAAGAGATTTTGTATGTCAAGATTGAAGTGGCATCTTTTTTTAAGATCACACCAGGTTTGAGCTTTTCGGTCCGCCAAAGACTGCAGGAACAACGCTAGAGCAAGAATCTGCAAACCAACGAGAAGTTAATAGTTGTATTGGATTCGTTCATCCCCAGATCGATCTAGATTTGTCAACTTTGGCCTTTCTGAGTTTTTTAACTTGTCCTCAGAAGAGTTGAAATTGCATCGTCTTTCTATCAAGTGGAATTCTAGGGCTTCATCAATTCTAGAATCAAATTTAGGCCATGGATTTGGCAAATTTGAAAACTGGAAAGCTGAGTGAGGAGAAGGAGCAAATATTGATCTTTTTTTTATCTGCCTTGGGCCAAACTAGCACGTACCGAGAGTGTTCAGAAGACCGGTAATTGAGGATTTTGAAAACACAGAAAATAAACCTACGGATTGGATTTAAAAGAGCTAGAAATGGCTTCTTGTGGCTCTAGTTTGCTATCAAATATAGAATTGAAGTAGATTTGAGCTCAACATCTGTCGCTCAATTGGATTAGCAAAATCAATTTTAATTTGTGTTTCTAATTATCGCGTTCGGTGTAGTGAAATTCTTTTAGAGCTCTAGACAAACTGTTGTTGGTGGAGCAAAATAGAGAACAATGAATAAAGTGGTGTTTGGAATTAGAGCAAGAAACAAGGTTTTGATCTGGTACTCTGTATCTTTGTTTGTGATTTGAAGTATCGATGTACAAGTAACTTCAATTGTGGTACACTTGTATTTGTGTATGCTCTCGTCTATGATTTGTAAATATGTATGTATGGAATATCAACTATGTATGTTGTATGACAATGTGTAGATAGATATGTCAATATAATGGAATAGATGTTAAGATCATCTTTTGCAATAAATCATGAGTCAACTAAGCATTTAAAATTTTGTGGTAAGTGATTATTTGCCATTCACAATGAAGCAACACACATGACAACGATTAATATGAAGCATATGATGAACTCAAGAGATATTGATCTAATCTCTCATCACCTATCTTCTCTTCCAAATTCTGAAAATCAATGAATGGATCATGTGATCTTAGAGCTTTGCGCCAAAACCTTTCATCTTAAAGTCCATTAATTTCAAGGAAGCATACAACATGCTTGACAACTTTTTGTGATGAAATCGTCACTCAAGAGTCTTAAACAACAGAGTGCAGTTGTCATATTCATCTACTTGTTTTAAAACTAAAGATTGTAAGTGTAATATGACTTTGCTCACACTATACTCCTCATCGCTCAAAAGTATTAAACAACAAATTTCAGAGTGCAGTTGTCATATTCATCTATTTGCTTTAAACCCAAAAAATGTAAATGTAATATGACTTTGCTCACAGCCTACTCCTAAGATTGCTTCAAAGTTAATTGTTATAAGTTGAAGGTTTTGTACTTCATTTTTTTCTAGACCTAGAGATGCTTCTAATGTCTATACTAGAGCAAAATATCACCACTTCCATCATACTTGACTATCTAATATTCTGCTATGCAAGACATTGTGATCGTGATCTTGTTTGGCCGAATAGTTGATATCATACCTTGTGATGTTGGAGATCATGTGTCTTCTTTTCCACTCATATCTATGTGTCAAGACTTTTACGCTGCTAAGTTTGGCTAGAGCAAATCTTGAAGGTTAGTATTAATTTGGAGAAAATGTCAGACTGAGTGTTTCTTGCAATAGGCCACAGGCTTTTGAATGGTCAATAAGAGTCAAGATTTGAAGTTCAAGCCTGCGGTTAGGATTTTTCCAAAACCAGTGGTTGAGATTTAAAATGCTTTCACCATCCTCCGTTAGAATAAAAAAATAAAATTTCTGACTTCAACCATTGAGGTTTCAACTTCGCCTTATGCTCTTGATCTACGCAGCTCTAGCCACGTCTTTGTGAAATTTCATGGAAAAAAAACTTCACAAATTTTACTCTTGATGTTCACTTTTCATTTTTCATCTGAAATATTTTTGTTGGATATTTGACAATTTCCAATTTTCAGTCAAATAAATGATTAGAGATATCAGGAAAAAAGTTGGAAATTTGACAAATGTGAATTTTTGATAATTAGTATTTGTTTCATACAAGGAAGATGGTAAGATATTCTGATTTTGCAGAGTGTAAGATTTTTCTAAGATATATAGTTTCATGATTATATCTACGTTTTTATATAGAGTATGTCTTAGACGTATAGGATTGATGGCAGGATTTCAGAGGTTTTGAGATTGACATTGCGTTACATGGTAGAAGAAGTCCATATGGGATCATGTGTTGAATAACCTCTGTATCTATTTGCCTATATAGATAGCTTGCTGCTGCAATGTATAGAATACCAATCTCATCAGGTGATACTTCTTTGGATGCTCCAATAGTGTATAGATTGTTTGATCTGGTTAGATAGGATATCTAGCTGAAGAGTAAATATTGCACATTGTGATGCTATTGGGTCTACCCTACCCCATAGGTTTCATCCCTCCAAGAGAGTTGATGGATTTCCAGAACTTCTTGCTATTTATTCCTACCTACGCCTAAAGCGAGTAAGGAGATGATGGAAGATAATTCTGTCTTGTCCTCATCCTTCCCTCGCAGACCCGGGCGTAGCAAAGCGTTGAGGATCCTCGGCGTTGATACAGTCTAGGGATTATTTTTATACTTCAAGCTAAAGAGAGCTTTGGATAGTCAGGCAAGTTGCACTTTCGGAGCGGTTCGAATGTCTCTCTCCGCTCGTTCGCATGTAAACTCCACATTTCATCCTCGTCACCATCACCCGTGCTCTGAGGATGCCTTCCAGCTCTGTTGACCTCTGATAAAAAATAGTTTACATATTATTTCCTTTTGTCTTTAGTACGAAGACCTCCAGGTTCTTCAGAACAGAGGCCCACCTTGGGTCCTGGCAACTTTGTGCCAGTAGGTTAATGAGTGGCGGGTCCCGTCGACCGACTGCTTGGTCGAGAGAGCGCTACACTCGAGTCAAAGGCGCCAAAGTTTACCCAGAGTTTACATGACAGGAGTTCACGCGGTTAGCATGGAAGCACGGTAACGAGAAAAGGACCAACCACGTCCCCAAACTGAATCCACTAGCAAGGGAAGGCATTAGGAGAAAATGTACTTCACGATGGATGCCTCCGTCACTGTCTGCCGGTTGGACGAGGTAGCCATAGGTCCTTTGGCGAAGAGCTGCTCACCGGCATGGCCGCGAGTTCTGATTCACGGTGGGAAGGCATCGCAGACGAGGACAGAAGTATTTTTCTCTGGAAGGGGTTAGAAGTATTAGGCTCTCGATTCCTCGTCACCAGGGACTCGGCTCGGCAGTTTGTGCAATCTTTTGCGAGGGGCCGGAATCTTCTGTCCCCTGCTGCTTCGGATTACCACTTGGCGAGACTATGATGTCGTTATGACTCGGCATTTACGTGCTTTTGGGTCAGTTCTTCGTGGCCCTCTCGAGTGTGCTGGACACTTTCGGAGAGACGGGAATCTGTTCCCGTGGCCTGCCCATGGGGTGTCTGATTCCGTGCACCTGCCGCGGAAACTGCACCTGCAAAGCTGTTTTACCCCGTCGGCCTCTCTTCAATATGACGTACAGCGCCGGTGCTACCGCTTTCCATCGGAAACGAGAGCAAAGGCTTCGGATCTAGTCCGAGATCTTTCGTCTTTGTTGACCGGTTCTCTTCTCCTGGCCTCTCACGCCTCACCAAATGTGAATGCGGAAAGCGCGAAAAAATTCCACCTTTTGCACAAAGAGATCGAGACATGAACCAACACTGGGCAAGCAACGGCCCTGTCCTATCTCGAATCTGCAGAACTGTGTACATGACTATACTGGCCGCGACCGGCTCGTCCTCAGGCACACGGGAGCCGTCCAGCCCGTGTGACGTGCGGCCCCGCAAGTACCACTCATCGAGTAAGCTCTTTCCAATGGCTGTAATGATGAGGACACTCAGAATTGACTCAACTGCCCCATGCATCCTGGTCCCCCGTTGTCTTTCATTCCATCCCTCGCTCTCTCTCTCTCTCTCTCTCCCCCTCTCCCTCTCTCGGTCTTAGCCTATCCGGTTTCTTCTATGCTCCAATCCAATCGGCGCCTTTCCTGCTTCACCTGCTGACGTAATTTGCACTGGTTCTAGAACAGATGCCATCACCGGGTTACAAGAAATTTCGGCGTCCGTGATTCGCTCCGGGTTGTGGATGAGATAGCGGTACTTCCTTGCCACCTCGGCCATGATGAAGCCACCCGAGTGAAACCTAATGGGCAGGATTTAGGGATAATCAGCCGTGTTTATTTCGCAAAACCATGCGGATCGGGAGTATCCGCATCCCGTGCCCATCGAAAGGCAATGGAGTATTCTTAAATGAATTGTAAGGGAGAAATTCTCCTCCCCCTTCTGAAAAGTGGGAGAACGCAGGACCCACATTCGCCCGCCTTAACAAATCTCTGTACATTTCGCGCTTTCAACAGTATCCGACCCCAAATCTTGCAAACAACTGAGAGCCGATGGTTGTCTCATAATTGATGCAAGGCTTGTTTCTCTCCCTCTTTCTCTCTTCCAACTCCTTGGCGGAGAGGTGTCTGCTGCTTTTCCACGCCTTTTGTCTTTTTACTCGAGTCCAAAATCATCGCAGTTCTTTTGGACGGATTGAGTCTTTCGTTTCCAAGTTGGGTCGAGGCATCGAAAGGAAAGAACAACCGGCTGGTTGATTATTTCTTGGGCAGACTCGTATAAATTTCTGCAAATGAACTATTGGACACTTGGAAGTACTCGATCAGTTCCTGAGCTCGTACAGCCGAATAGAAGCTAGTCTAGAGAAGAAATCATCGCTGCTGGAAGTTGGAAAAAAAGGTTTGTGAGATGAATGCAATTAGACAGTAGTGTTTAATGAACTGGATATGTTGTTTTAATTCCGCCACAGACATTGAAGCTTGAATCCAGACATCGAAGGTGGAATGGAATCTGTCCGGAATTTAAAGCTTTGACAATTCTCCTTCTCAGGTACAGTCATTACCGTGGGTCCATGTGTTACATCATTACAGTACAATCTATTGGTGTTCACATATTAATAAAACTTCGATGTTTTTTAGCACAATAGAGTCAATCGACAGAGCCCTGTACGCGCCACGACCAACGCATGCTGATCATATTCTGTACTTGGGGGTATTTCTCTTTAGACAGATTGAGTAGATTTTCGAGTTTACTACGTGCAACTAGGCTGCAGTACTGACTGTGATCAGAGTAAAGACCAGGTGTCCCTTTACCTCCACCACAAAGGATTCTTTTAACAGAGATTTGTCTGTATGCATCACCATATCTCTACCAACAACTTTCCCCGAAATTTTCATCGACTAGGCCATCTTTTTCGCAAGCAATGGACCCCACTTCGACAGCTCGTGGGTGTTCAGGACAATTCTCACTCTGTCCGCCTGAATTGGTCTAATATCGAGTTTAGACTACAAGTGCTTTCGAAGTATCGCAGTTTGGTACATTATCGTTGGAAAATGCTGTATGTAGCCCAGTTGCTTTACGTTCCTGACCGTCGTGGTACCGTTTCATAATTCAACTGGTAGAGACAAACATCTGAGAGTGAGTGCGAAATATCGCTCTTTTCAGCATGATCTATCTGTTAGACGAGTGGTTTAAAACACTGTTTGGATTCGAAAAAGAGAGCACTTTTTCGCTCGTCAAGCGACACGGAGCGGTAGGAAATTATAACGAAGATGGATTATGCTGCTTTTGTCCAACCACCGCACATTCGATTAAGGACATTTGGTCTGTATATACATGATCTTTTACCCGTACAGAAACTGATTTGCAAAACTTCACCGCTCTGGGATGCAGCGGAAATTTTCACTTTACTACCATTGACCAAATTGAAAAAAATGGAAGTACTCTCGGATCGGCGACAACACGACTTAGAAAATGTCATGTCTAACTTGCAAAGGGACAATCGATAAGTGTGCGTTGTCAGAATTGAAGTTCACGGAAGAAGTGTGCTCTCACACATAAAACGAAATGACCAAAAGCAGCTGTATTATCTCTGGGCGAGCGTAGCTGACATCCTGTCCACCTACCGGCATAGCTGCCACAATTGTTACTTTCGGTAGGATTGATGCTCTCCGCATTAAAAACTGACGGTGAAAGCGGCTACGGTATAAAAATACATTGACACGGACACAAGCACGAATAAGGCGGAGTCCACTGACCATCAAATCATGGACATCGACACGAGTGAAAGGTCTGCGTGCAAGGAGTCTCAAGTTGGTAAACTTGGCATTTCTTTTTACAAGTGGCTCGCCTTGAGCCAACGGAGAACAATGAATGTAATCCAACATTTAACTTGAACCTTATCGACAATTAAACATGGCACATTTCGGGCGGCAGGCTTTCGACTAGAAATCTGCTTCCGGCAACACGAGTTCCCTCCAAATCCACAACGAGAACAGCGTAAGCCGGAGCGCAAACTTCGGCGCCATAGTATCCCGATCCGCAACAATTGAAGAAGGTCCGGCCCTGGAATGACAGCACTACGGACACTTCCTTCTTCTAAAACTACTAATCCTCAAAACCTCGCCTCGCTAAGGCTAGTTAGAAGATGCAATTATGCTTGCTGATAAAAGTACAGAGGCGAAACGCCCTGGCCCTGACCCTGGCCCCGCATGGCACCGCAGCACGCCGCTAATGCGAGGGCAGCGAGGACCTTCTTGATACATATCATCCAATTCTGCGTTCTAATACACGCCTTCAACACTGCTGCGGCCTGGTTGAAGGCACCTACACAAGATCCGGTCCTAGTAGAATCATACTTTCCAACCTGAGATCATGATGTTTACATATCCCCCAACTAGACTACAAAACTAAGAGGTGGAAACCAATGATGCACCGGACCACACCTCCATCGGCCTTCGCCTTCACCTTCAGCTGTATCGTGTCCTGATGCCCGACGATGGCTGTCAGACTCACAGCCACGCCTGCAGCTGAGTATATTACGCTCTCCGAGAGCGGAACAGCAGATAGTTGTTGACAGATCGCTGGCCTCCAATGCGAAATGGCATGACAAATGGAAAGCAAGCGTGGAAATCAAGATCCACCGAGAATTTGGCCCGCTCTTCATTGGGGGGCTCCACCGCCCATGCTGCTCGGAAGATGATGGAGCGAATGCTGGTGTTGGTGTTGGAGCTGATGTTGTTGATGCTGCTGCTGGTGTTGCTGCTGGTGCTGATGAATCATGAATGCACTGAATGCATCCATACTCATCGGCTGCAAGAACAGGCACAGTGAGTAAGAATCAAGACTTCATCGTCTCCCAACCACATGCTCCTTCCTCCTAGGAAATTTGCACAAAAAACAAAGCTGACAGAAGATCGGACAGAACCAGCCGGCATTCAAAGAGAAGGATCACCTGAGGAGCCATTTGCATTTGCCGGTGTTGCGCCATGAAGACGTTCAGTGACTCCATGACGCTCGGGTTTTGCAGGCGGTGGTCATGAGTGTCTACCATAGAAACAGCTGGTGAGGTTGCAGATACGTTGTGAGAGTGAGAAGGCCCACTGTGAGACGGAAGGGGTATCATCGGTCGACCGGGAGCTCCGCCTCCCATGTCCATCATACTCATTCCCATTCCCATCGGGCCCATGCCCATACCCATGCCCATTCCCATTCCCATGGGAGGCATTGGGCCCATTTGGGGCAATTGCGGGATTTGAAGGTGTTGCATTCCCGCCGGCATCACCATAGAGGGGATGCTCATTCCACTTCTCATGGACATCATCTGCTAAAGAGGGCAAATTGAATTCAGTATTTGTGCTCGGGCGTCTCTACAGCACCTGCATCGCAAGGAGGAGCAGAGAACTACTGCGAAGGTCAAAGGCTGGGATAGTTACCTGCAGTTGCAACTGGAGCATCTTCAAGTACTCGATCGCTTCATCCAGCATCGATGCTTTGTCCGTCTGCAATATGAATCAAAAGTCTGCATCATTGACTGTATTTCAAGGGCAAGTTACCGCACGGTGATCCAAAAGAAGAGGCAAGGTACGAAGAACAAGGCTGAAAGCTGTAACAAACCTTGTTGGAATTGGGGATCAGCTCTTGCAGAGCTTTCATCTTCTCGTTGATACGATCTCTTCGCCTCTGAAATGGGCAGGAAATTCTATCAGTAAAGCTGCGGAAGCCAAGAGCTTCAAAACTAACATCAGTCACAAAATTGACGACCCAAACAAGATTTGAGACCTAGATTGTCCACTGCCGTCATATGCTCACGGCTTGGACCATCCTGTACAATTGGCGCAGAGCTCAATTTCTCAGTTAGTGGTGGACTCTCACTCGCTCGGAAAGGTTGTGGACTTCCGCGGCCCTGCTCCTCTTAGTGGTGGAGCCTCTCTGTTGAGGTTTCTTTTGCTGGGCCATCTCGTCCTCGCCATCTTGCTGCCAGAAACAACATTGGCTTTTATTAAACGCAAGTACACTTCTCACACATCCTCGCATAAAAAGAGCAGTCAGTGGGATGTTATTCAGGAAAAAGTTAGCATCACTAGATAAAACATACCCTGTGGGCTACTGCACCAACTTGACTCCCTTGGGGTTGCAACAAGTTACTCACTTCGCTCTGGCACTCGGACTCCTCTCCTTCCCTGGTTCTTCTCTTGCCACTAGATGCGGCCTCTTTCCCTCTATCTGCACTATTACCGGACCCACCAGAAGACGAGGTAATGGTGGGTTCGGGAGCTTCCTGCACTTCTGCTCCTTGAGACTGATGCTTTTCAGTTCCTAAACCGCCACTACCTGTGATGCTAGAATTCCTGCAATTGTCCACATCCGCTATACCGGGCTTCGAATCGCAGTCCACACCATCCACGGAGGAATTGACAGCGTCGGTGTCCTTGCCCGACAGCGAATTCTGCATCGAAGGCCAGCTCGATTCGGTTCCTAGACTCTGTTGAGCTTCGGAACCTTCGACTTGGCATTCGGTATCCTTGCGGAAAGCGCCGCTGCGTTGCCTCGTGGTGGTTGACTCTGCAATGGAGGACCCCGTCGACGTGCTTGCGTCGACGGGTGGCTTCCCGCTGTAGGGTTGGCTCTTGAGCCGGACGTTCGTCCCGCTCCCGTGCGGAGGGGCCACGTGAGACATTCCTAGGCACTGGAGATTGGCCTTCATCACAGCCGCAGGGCGAGAGAAATGCGAGAAATTCATCGGGCCTGAGGTTCTGGGAGGCTGGAAGCTGAGTCCCTGAGACTTCGGGGGGAGCATGGGGGTCGACAAGTTCCCAGACATCGGCGGGGATCTTGACGGGCTCGGAGCCAGGGTCGAGGTCATCGCTCCCAGCGTTTTCCCGGCGTTGTTCTGATTTGGGGACCACTTTCCTCCGTAGGGTTGCAAAGTGGTCCGAACTTTGGTAAAAACCTCCACCCCTGTCTGAGGCAACAAACCGGCAGCTCGCCCCGCTCCCATGGCCATCGCCGCATCCGCACTAGACATTCTGCTGTTACTCCCTACGTTAACGGGACCTGGATTCCTGTTGTTGCGCCCCGCTACTTGATTTTGCCCTGCGAATGAATCCTTCATCAGCTGCATGTTCGATATGTTGGAGTTGGGCAGCTCGCCGAAGAACTCGGAACAGTAGTCTCTTTCGAGGTGTTCGTCCAACGGATACTGCAGCCAGCACACCATCTCGTCTTCCTGCATGTTGAGGGCACTGGAGTGGTGCGTGTCGACCGCGGGCTCATTGACAAGAACCGGCTCCTTCCCCGGAGACGACGAGCTGATGGGCTTCACAGGAGTAACGGCATCCTCAGACTCTGGCACACTCGACCACCCATTCTGGAAATTCATCTGCTGCCACATAGCCTTGTTGCCCTTCCCGCTTTGGTTCTGCATAGCTACAATATGACTTTCCTCTGCCCACTCAGTTTCGCCAGCATCGTGGGTTGGCCTGTAGAAGAAGAAGAACGCGACCTTTAACATCTCTTCGAAGCTCATGTGACGAAGAGCAGCATGTCAACGAGCCGGCATCACGAAGTGGCATTCTCAAAGATCCACAATCAAGAAATTGACCTTACATACAATGGTATCAAGAACACAAAAAACTATGGGGATTGAAAAGCCGGAGCAAGCGCTTACACGAAGGCCAAACCAGACAAGTGCGACCTTTTATGGGGCAATGAGTCCCACTTTCCCTTAACCGGCAGTGAGAAATCGCTTGTGGGTAAAACAGCTTCTAAGTCTCCACCGTTACCATCCCAGTCGGGAACGAGGTGACTCATGGTCTGCGAGTCAAACAGGAGGAGGTAAATCAAATGCCTACCTAGACTGCTACGGCATCGACTTCTCGGCCTGTCACTGTCAATGCCCAGCGCTTCGCCAGAAGCGCTCCCACATACATAGAGGTAGTGGATGGTCGTGAGTAAGGCATGGCAGTGGGAATGAGAAGATGAGAGGTGAAGACTTCGACAGTTTGCAGTCGTCTCCTGCTCGTCCTACTTCTAATCTACTCTCATGGCACCCAAGTCTCGAAGTTCACCTACTTTTAAAGCCTCTTCATTTCTCAGTGACGGGAAAGGTATGGGTAGATTACGAGAAAGGTAGACGCTCCAAACACAGACAGAAAGCAAGTAAGAATCACCAGCTCGCCGATCTCTCGACAGGCTTCCCACACTGAACTCACCTCTGATGGGGATGTAGTGACAACCGGAGAGGATTCTTCCGGTGTTCAGTCCGTTCCCGATTCGAAATCCAGTCCCTGTAGGAGCAATTCGAACCCAGTCAGTTTAAACAGAGGCACAACGGGTTCTTGCCGCTAAGCGGGTCAATCTGCTACTTATCGCCGTCGACTAAATGGGCCCAACTCTACAACACAGAGTGCAGATGCATTTACGATTCTTCTGGGTCGGTGTACTCAACGCTTCCTTACATGTCCTCATCATTCCGGAGCATCAAGGAGATGCAGTTTTTATGCAGTTTGTACATTCATCTCCTCGGGAAATACAACAGGCCACCCCGGCTCTTTCTCACGGCTCTGTCACAAGAGAAGGATCTCGCTCAGAATCTAAAGATCTCATAGAGGTTATGTCAACCGTGCGGACAAGCACACTTAACGAAGTAGCTGCACACTCTCCTGCGGCAGAGTGAGCGAGAAAGGTCAAAATTACCAAGGCTCAGTGATCGCGGACATTTCATTATGTGGGAGAACAAGAGCTGTCTACTCAAACATACACACTAGAGCGGCGTGGGCCTGACATGGATGCTCGAGGCTAGCGTCGCCGACAGACAAGGTCATCAAATGCATGGAGACACGCGGGAGAGGGAAGGCGAAGATAAAAACGATAGGACTGAACCTTGAGCTGGAAAACTTGCTCTTCTCACGCCGACAGAAACAGTGCCACGGGCGGAAGGAAATCCCAACTTATGACCCACAAAGAGTACCAACTTGTCAAGCAGACAGACATAACGCCACTCCTCTCCCTCGTCCCTCCGCCAACAACCGCCTAGAACACAGAGACACAGAGATAAACACACAGAGGCGGCAGCACCTTCGACGTCAGAGAGCCCGCTCGGCAAGCTGGGCGCTTGCTGGCCCCAGGGACCTCGCGCGATCCCAAGAGCAGAATCCCTTCTTTTTCTCTACCAGAATGGCATCACATCACTCAGAGCTCTTCGTGTCCCTCCTCAATCCTCCCGTCGGAAGACTCGAGCCGCCTCTGCCCACTGGCCCCGAATCTGCAGCCATCGATTCCGCTGCTTCTCTCGTCCACATCTGGCACTCGGATCGCCCACCCTCCCGCTCTAGCACCAAAGACTCGCACTCGAATTCGACTCTTGATCGTCTTCAGCAACATCCAGCAAAATGATATCCTTACTACTCCACATTCTTGTACTCCTCGCCTCCCTCATCGCCCCGCCCCACTTTCCTTCCTTCCTTCCTTCTTTCCGTCCGTCGACTCGCTTCTCTTCTCTTTACAGGTACGTACAGTGTAGCTTTTAGCTCAGCTCTACTCCTCGGGCCTACGACGTAGCCTAGCCATGCTACTCTTCACTCCTGTACCTAAGGTCCTGGCCTGCACCCGTTCCACGGAGAGTTACCTTACTCCGGCAGCGCGCTTCATCGACCCGTCCTCCCCTGCCTATCCTTCCCTTGCCTTTGCCTAACTCCGGAGGGCTCTCCATCACCAGAGTCCCCACCTCGCTCTCATCCTACCATCCATCCAGACCTGCAGGACAGTGCACCTAAACCTCACCCTGTAAGAGATTAATAAACGAGAGCGGACTTCGTTCGAGCTCCTACTCTGGCACAAGGATTTCTCCCCCATAGCGCAATAAATTGATGGCTCTCTCCAGGTGCTCGGGAATTCAGCTCTCGAGCTCATCCCTGAGATTCACCGGTGGCACTACCTTCCCCCAGGACGCCTTCTTTTTTCTTTTTTCGTATTTTAAGATCCGGGCTGCATTGGTGCGGCACAGAGAGCAGCAGAGGCGATGCAATTATCCGGGCCGCTTTCGGCCTTCGACGAGCTACAAGTTGGTATTTGCCTCCTGCCCACTCCGATTTCTCACCTGAAAACTCGACGGCTGCGTCCTACGAGAATCTTCCACGTGGCGGTTTGTATCGCCAGGATGAACCTGGGTCCCGGTTCCACAACATCAGGCCGCCGTGGCCCGCGATTTCTCTTCGTCTACGAAACATCATCCGAAACCGGGCGAGGGTGTCGTACCACTCCCGCCGACAACGGGATCCATCGAGGTTAGTTTAGCAATAAAAGCCAGGGTCCCGGGAACTGGCCAGGGAACGGTACGCAGCGCAGGCACAGAAAGGCCCCAGCATGTGGATAGCTCCACGTGGTACAGTCTCTGGGATGGCGCCACGTTCGCAGAGCAATCGATCGGGCGATACCGATGAGAGGAAACCGGTCTCCCTCAGAGACGGGTAAAGGTCAAAGCTCCGACGCCGTGAAGCAGTGTACCATATTACAGCCCTGTCAGGCTTGAACCAGAGCTAATGTGGTTTGTGTTGGGTTAGGTTGACGGACATTAGGGTTTGCGTTCTGGATTGGGGCAGCTGGCAGCGCCTCATAATGTACAGTATCGTGGGTCATTATGAGATCCATGTGGAGCCCTCCCCATGTTTGTCTTCGCTTTTACACTACACTTTTGCGTCCCGATTTTAGCCGCATCGTCAGGCCCGCTCGTTCGCATTACCCTCTGGGACCTCCGAATCCGAGCGTCGCCTCCAGATTTGGAGGCGGGCGGAATGACATGGCACCCCGGATGCACGAACGGGAGTTAGATTTTTTGCGTCCGCGTTCACACATCCGATTTTTCGATTTGTTGTCAGCCTTTTACTGTTTCACATGAATCCGCGGAAGACCTCGGCCTTATACGATTTTATTCATTTGAGCCATGACGTCGCTCTGTTATGCTGCGAGTACGAGTACGCCTACATTCACAACTCACGCTATATTTTCTAGCCCGATTGGATAGCGCCATCCGATAAAATAATCGCATTATCTCTGCTTAGCCTAGGAGATGCTCGAGATATCGAGTGGTCCGAGTCAGTTCGATCACAACTCATGATCAAACGTGTTCAAATTAATGAGATAATGAGAGCTACGTGGCGACTAATCGATCGAACCAGCCCATCGTTTAGCGAGGGACGGAGGGAAAGAAGGCAGCAGGCAGACAGGCAGGTAGTGTAGCGTAGTGTTCTACAGTGTTACGGGTCTGCCCCTGCAAATATCGAGATTATTCACACAGTTAGAGAGAGAGAGAGAGAGAGAGAGAGCACATCGATCCACAGTGATCGCTGCCCTGGAAGATTCAGAAAAAGATCCCGCTTTAAAGATGAGAGTGCACACCGGGTCTAATCTGCTGTACACCACGGTGGATCAAGCACGGTCGGTCAACTCTTAGTCAACTTGAATGAGAAGCGATGTATTAGATTATGAGAACGTCGGATGCAGGATGGAATTAATGATCATCACCCTTTTGATATTTCCAAATCTATCATCAAGCGTACGACATATTCCTGCTGCAAAACCATTATCACATGTGTGGGAGGAAAATCTGCTGAAGACTTCTCGAAACCGGAAGACTTTGAGAGTGTGACTCTTGCCCTTCAAATCGAATATGTTGCCCAGTACAGTTTGCAGATTACTCAGTGGTGGTGGGTGTTCCATAATGTCTTTATCTTTTGCTCTGGTTTCTCTTCATGAGATTCAACACTTTTGTTGTACGATCGTCGCCGATAGAAAAGGTTATCCTCTCGTCGAGAGGGAAAAAACAAAGGAATCGAGGAAAAGGAATGTTGAAGATTCCATTCAATTGACATGGTACCCCTAAGTTTCTATCTTCAAAGCCGCCCGTATTCCTCCGTTGTGCCAATCTTCCTTCACACAGGAACGTGCATTTTGCATCATCATGTGCAACTCCACCTTTCTGGCAAAGCATACAAAGCGAATATTATATCTCCACGTGCAAAGCATGGCTGGATGTTCACTCGTGCTTACAACACTACAGATGTATCCATGAAGGGCCAACGATGAAAAACTGCCTGCCCTATAAGAACTTTTTCTCTTCGGCATCCCCCGGCATCTATCGACCCGCGAAAATCTTCGACTCAGTCTAGGATGACAGCTTTATCAGAGGTGTGACCCAATTATCTCGTTGAGGAACTAAATATCAGGCTCTGGGCAACCAATTTCTTAATTTTCGTGGAGGTATTAACTGGCCGGTAGGTTTGTCTTCAACAATCGGAAATCTATATCACTGCACATCATACTCCATTCAAAGGACCTGGGCATGTACTTCGCTGCACCCCGGCTGAGTCAAGTGACATCTGCAAGCACCAGAACATAGGCAGGCTTGACACCAATGCGAACCGAGGTCTAAGGTCGAGCTCCTGCCTCGTAAGGTCAGGAGGTCAGGTCAAGTCAAAAAACAGGGGTGGCGAATGAAGAAGCAACCGTGCATACAGCAGCAGCAGCAGCAGGAGCAAGATCTCATCAATTACTGTACAGTACCTTCTTCTTCGACTACGTACTTCACGTTCAGCTCCCCTCACCTGGATCCACGGAATATGTCATCTAAGGGTTTTCTATTGACTCGAAGTACACATACCTTCCAAAAGGATAAGATTCAAGGGGGTATGCACCTGACCAAAACGACGATCATGGGCATTGAATCGGGCGATGTTAAGGCGCATCCTTCAAATTGGGCAACTTGTACTTGCATTGATCGACCGGAGGCCAGGTGCGGTATACTGTAAGCCAAGAGATAACAACATTTCCTCTGCCTATTTCCGAGCGACACATTAAACCATATACATGCCCCTGCGAGCTGTTCGTTGGAGATACGACGCAGCAGGACAAAGCGATTTGAAAATGGCTGCTGCTGGCCACTTGCGACTCCACGTCGAACACAAACATTTGGAAAGGCTGCTGGCCACTTGCGACATCGCGAATCCAAGTTGACGCTGCAAACAACGGACTTTAGCTTTCGAAGCCTCGCAACTCAATCCGGCCTGCGGAAAGTCGCACGATTCCATAACTAGCCCGAACCGGAAGAGTAGAAGTACGAGTATATGTGACAAGGTACAGTCCTTCGCGAAGTAGTCATGCGGCAAATAGTGGTACACATAATTGTTCCTGTCCGCGTGTTCGTGTACCAAGTGGCGCGTAGGGTCAATCTGGAGTCAGGCAACAGAAAATTCCATGACTCAGCAATCAGCGCCGCCACCCAGCGTCCCATACTTTCCTCCCCGGAGGAATCCACTGGTTTTCATACTTCCCTAATTTTAACCCCAACAGACTCAAGCCTTCGTTTCTGACACAACCCGTACAACGAGGACGGGCAAGCGGGCGGATGTGTCCTCCTGTGTGCATGATTGTCTGACTAAATGCCTCATTTCTCTAACTCGGGTTACGAGGTCAGTTTAACCTGCGCGCTGCTGGGCCGTACAGCGGCTGGACTTTGTTTGAAAACCACGTTGACTGACAGAACGCCGTGACAGATGCGACTGATGGTGGTATAGGGCAAATACTGTGGGCCAGAGTCCGGCGGACGAACCTGTGAAGGAGAATGGATACGACTCTGGGGCGCCCAATCAGAGCGCGAGATTAGATCGGCGGGATTCGGGCAAAGGCTGAAGCTGTGGCTGCTTTTGATCGGGCGTGTTGGGCCCAAAAGAAACCCCACCGCGGTTTCCATTACTAACCGGTATTAAAAAGGATTCGTCACATCACTCTCGCTTTCGCCGGGTGGTCTCGGCTCGCCAAAAGATATGCTGCTAACCAGACACTTTCTCCTTTTCCAGCTAAAGATGCGCGTTCCACGGGAGAGTTGCTGCTTTAGGATGGATGCAACTATTTGAGGCCGGTTGTACAATCGGAACAGAATAGCAACAAAATGTGAGAAGTTGCTTAGCTCTAGTCCTCTCACTTAGTCCCGCATCTCTCAAGAAGAGGAGTTTGCATCTATCAATAGAAAGAAGATTCGATCCTGCTACTCACTTGAACTTGCTGATTTTTCTCAATCCGATATATTGAACGTTGTTTTGCAGCCACGCTGGAAAATGGCGTCATATCGAGCATCACGGAACGAAACGTTTTCCACTTAGACTCTTGAATGTCCTCTTGAAAGAGCTTGACATTCAATTGTCTTGAGTCAAAAATACGTCTCCTCCTCATTCAAGTTAATCTTGAAATATCCTGTCGCATAATGTCCTACCAGTATACTTGGACTTGCGGTCACATCTTATTCCTTCATCTATTCCTCTTGAAGGAGCAAGCAGAGAGGCAAATGACCAATAAGTTGCTATGTATATCAAGCACCGAGCATAGATATCAAGAAACGTGATGTCCTGTCCAAAATAATCTCTGTCGGCTTATTTGAGATATATACGGCAATATGGGGTGTGCATGCTTAAAGATCTGGACAATTCGAGATGGTATCCCAGAAAAAGTAATCATGCTCGTGTATAATACAGCACATCAAATCCTTACAATGTATACAACTTGCTTGGAATGAGCTGTTTCTCAATCAGGGAACAAATTACTGAATACATCGATACGCTACGGGAGGCAGTTGTAGAATAGCAAAACAGCACAAATCATGCATGTCAACCCTTGGAGCTTACATGCCATCCAAATATGACTTCCTCCCCTGCACGTCTGAGAATGCTTACCATTTGTTGGAAACCAAATTCTATACCTCGATCGTAGGCTTTAGAACTGCAGTTTTGTGTGCAGCACATCTGCTGGTGAGGGAAAAGGAAAAGATAGAATCAGAACGAAAGAAATTCGATTTGATTTCCTCTTCCCTGGCGACTAAAGGAATGTGACGTACGATCCAATCGCAAACAAGGCCTCAAGATATTTCATTAATGCACTAAGGCCTTCCACAAACGCATCCAGTGCATGGGTGGGTCTATGTACAGTTTCCCATTCTTTGAAAACATCTGTTGCAAGGAAAATTTCCGGTTTTAGAAAAAAGCACCTCCTTTAACTTTTGAAGACGAATGAGTTTTCTCTGTTCCCGCGAGAACTTCATCTAATGCGAGGAAAAGTTGTAACGAGTTCAATAAATATACATCCGAAACTTTTCAATCAATATGACGGTGCAGCTCTCTCGTTTCTCAGCTGCGATACTTAAAGGACTCTTTACAGGTAAAATCTATCTCTACTCAGTTCGCGAACTTCATGCTTTCCTTCAATCTCTGCGGCTTCTTCCTTCATATCATGTAGTCAAAACAATCCTAGATCGCTTCTTTCTCACACTTTTCTTCTTACCAAAATGTATTTAGATATAACCCTTCTCCAAAATTTGCATGGCTTTTTCGTACCTTGAGACCGTGCAACCTAAAGGTCTAAGACTGTAGGGAACGAAGTAAAAATTGAAGTAAAATCAGATTCAAGGGGAAAGAGCATATGAAAAAATTACCCACAAAAATTAAAAAATTTCACCTCAGAAATGTGCAACTGTTTTGGACTAACTGTTACAAACGATACACATACATCATCGTCATACATCTCAACCGTGTCACGAAGACAACGAAGGTCAGCAACCGATCATCTCTGCTATGCCTTTGCATTTTGTGAGGACATCGAAATTTATTACCATAATCGACAATGTATCTGTGCCCAATAAATACCTAGGAGCCCTATCATTAATAATTGAAATAAGGATCAAAAATATTGCGAGCGAGTGTGGTTTTGAAGGATTTCTACCCAGCGCTCTACGACTCTTGTTGTGTGAACAATTTATAGCTGAATAAAAAATGAAGACATTATATTTAATGCCCAGGGCCTGGCAAACCTTACATTTTGCTTTAGATTCCATGGAGAAATTTTATCACAGAACCACTTTTGGTAAATTTTACGTTGGCTTTCCATCAGAAGAAATTTTAGGTTCAGACTAAAATCTCTATAAGAAGTGGGCTCCAATAGTACATAAATCATATTTTAATTTGGGTCAGGAGGATATCAAAAGTTACCATCTATGCTAACCTTTCCGCTACACATATTGCCTTTTCAAGGTAAAAGAGAGTTGAATAATGAATATTATAGTTTGTAGAATTAAGTTCAAGTCATCGATCAAATGGAAAAAGTATCCATATAACGAATGTCGACATCTGTTGAATATTTATTTATGATCCAGTTGGTGGTGGGCTCAACTATGGAGGCAACAAATGGTGGAAGAGACTGTTGAGCAAAAACAGAAGAAATTATGTACTCCACAAGAAATCAGTCATCAGTTGAAGACATTTGCCGTCGATTTCGAATAAGGAGAAGTATATATGCTTAGAAGTGAAACCTTGGTTATATTGTGTTAGCTAGATGGATAAAACATTACATCGTATTTAGGCATAAAATGCATTCTGAGAATCAGGCTAAAGATTCGAAAGCATTATTACACCATTAGAGGATTCAAAACACAAGTTCAACAACCGTGGCAGGTTTTCCAGGTTATGGAAGAGCAGTTTTCCGTGTTCCCAAAAAAGTTATGCACTATATTTCAACTGAAACCTACGATTAATGTAGTAAACTCCCCTTTCCCTTCCCGTTTAATATGATCCGATGTTTTGGATAATCTGAAGATATAGTTGTTGATTGTGTTTACCCGTAGACCCGCCATGGTTCTTCAAAAATATTTCGTAATTTTTACAAATAAGGGAGGTATAATTTACGTGATGTCTCACTTCCGTCAATTTGTTTTTCTTTTTTTCTTTTTAAGAATATGAAACCCCACTCAATCTACTTGCAGACAAAGGCAGAAAAACTTTCGGCTCTCAAGATTTAGTTTATTGGTTTTGGAATCCTCGTCTAACATGTTTTAAAAGATAATTACAAAACTCCAGGCATGAACATAAAAGAAAATAAACGACTGATCTTCTCAGTTTTGATCACCCAGCACTAGTTCAAATTTGCGTAAAGGGCGATTACTGAAACTACTACCAGGCCCAATAACAAGCGGTGAAAGTGATGATAAACACCAGCAAGAGTTTAGAGGAGGCCCCAAAAATGATTGTACAATGTAGAATGTAGGATTATAGGATTCTTGACATCACGAATTCATTTGCAGCTTACTTTTGTTGTCGATAATATTAATGCAGTCACACAGATTGTAGCCGAAAAACTGTAATACGCTCCTAGCAAGGGAACAGCAGCTTTCGATCGACATGTGACTAGCCTTCTGCAGAAGTTTGGTGGACTCGCTGTCCTACCCTCGAAACAAGGCCGGCAGGGAATTTTTCTTGAAAATTGTGCTGAATGTCTTGCAAAGGTTCGGAATATTCTCCCACTCGATCACTCATTTTCCCGACGACAGAAGAATTTGTTGTTCAATGTGAGGGACATTCTCTAACTCGTCCCACACATCGTACCTTTAATCATGCGTCAACCATTGAATTGTTGAAGTCATAAAAAGTTGAACATTTTCTCTCTTACCTGTTTTTTTTACTCATTTTCTCCTTCACGGATAGGCAGACGAATAGGCTCGAGCATCAGCATCACGATCAGGTCACACACGAAGCACCTAGATCTGAATGCTAACAATATCTTCAGACTTCTCAGCAGATTTTAGTTGGATCCTTATCCTCTTGGAAATTCCATAATCGTCGTGTGTTGAAGTGGGCATTGGACGGAGACCTCACGCACATCTAGAGACTTGCTTGCTTACATGCGCGAAAAAGTGCAGAATATGATGATTCGGCAATGAAGTTGTTGGTACATTTTTTTCAACAGTCTCCTCGAAAAGAGAAATTAGATGTGATCCAGTAAGGATTATTTCAAATTTATTCAGTGGTACAACACAATCGATACCCCGTCAAAACAAGTAATCTTTCTCGCCTAAGAAAGAAGAACAGATTCAAAGAACTGTTCTTGAAAACAAGCTATGTTTGTGTCTATTTTCTTTGAGATGTCTTTCGTGGATCCCGTGAAAACTCTGATCCCGGAGTGATTACAATGACTCTCGCATTTATATCTATATCTTATCCTTTTTTGCTAAGACTTCGCGACTGCAAAGAACAGGTGAAATTCAAGTATAATGAATTGATTTGTCTCTTGCGGACAGACAGGAGTAAGTCGTGCGGGTAAATTTATCTGAACTAGACTCGCTCTCTCGACTCGACGAGAACTTGATAGCTACTGTAGGGAAGAAAGGCCACAGTGAGAAAAGAAAGAGTTTTTTGAGTGTGGGGTATGGCCCCATGTTCACAAAAGGAAGTGAAAG